CCGAATGCTTATCGTCTTACAATTAAGTAGTTTAGTTGTAAAAGAACATATTTTTTTAATGAGTTGCACCCTTGCAGATTTCCAACATTACCAATCTGTGATTCCTTATCCTAAAAGACTTCTTAATAATAACACCTGTTAACTCTCACTGCTTGATTTAGGCTGGTACAAAGTGTGCTTAAAGTTTCTAAAAGTTTCTATTTGGTACGGAAATGGAAATTAGAATTCGTAAAAGGTTTCTGAGAAGCATTTACAAACAGCAGGGGTGTTTAATCAGTGTACTTCTTGATCATCTAGTAAGAATGCAAACTAATTACAGGCGTATGGATTTGTCGCTTTCTCGCAGGGTTCAAAACTCTCAGCAACAAACCGGAGCTGCGCAACAGAGTTCACATTTTGTTCTTTTGATCTAAGGCAGTTGAAGCCGTACAATAAACAAGACACCTCCGTTCTGAAACGAGAAAGAAGCACTTTTTTTTTTTTTTAATCTGACACAGCCTGAGGTTGCCCCATGACAGTGAATTAGATTTTCCTCCACAAGTTCACTTTACTGTATCCCACAAAGCAGAGTGTGTCCATATCCAGTCTATTGTGACTGTGTCCTCAGCTTCAGGCCCCGGGATTTGTTTTCTGATGCAGCAACAAGAGAGTCTTGGTTGTGTTGTTTCTAGCTTTAGAAAAGATTTGTTCATCCTCTGAAAACAAGCCTGAGCTGATCAGGATCACAGGAATGCAGTACATGGATTCTTTTTTTTTGAGGTTGGATTTTCCCCTTCAGCCTCGTGATGGAAGCTCGCTGTCTATCTGCAGCTGAGGAATGCATGTAAAGCCTTGTATGCACTGACCTCAAACATCTTTTCTCTACTGCTGAGTTCAAAGAGCAGCAGTTTTTTTCCCCCCTCCCTCCTCTTTACTTCTTCCTCGCATGGACCATTAGTCTATTGAAAGGGTGTTGTGTTGTGTTGCAGCATCTCTGGCTAGTAGGAGTTCAAATCAATCATGTTTGCTCACTGAAATTGCCGGGGTGAGATTTGGAAGGATTGGTACATTTAATACTTGGGACTGAGCCAGCTTAAAGGATGACCTAATCAGCTGTTTCCTGTCAAGGTCGCTGTGCGGTCCCGTCAGAGCGGCTGCTGCCTCCTAAAGATGTGTTGCGGCGAGCAGACAGGAGCTAAATCACGCTGGAAGTTCATTAATTGCACGTCACATGCGGCGGTAAACTGTAACTGCGGCGTTTACATTGAATGTCACGAGCGAAGGCGTGTGTTCGGTATTGTCTGGACCAGGGGTGTCAAACTCTGGCCCGTGGGCCAAATTTGGGTCGCTTTGCAATTGTATTCGGCCCGTGAGGCAATACCAAATGACTACTAGAGCTGCCCTCGGTATTATACTGTACAGCGCATTCACAGCTAATACTACAAATCCCATAATGCCCTGTTGTTGTTTTGGCACGTCAATCAGGACAGGACCCAGAAACTCCCTCTCCTCTGTGACAGTAGGCATAGCGACTTCACACTACAACTGTCACTGTGCCATTGATGTGTTTTTTATTTCTAATTTGATTTTGCATGTCTCCACTATTAACTTATATATAATGTATGGTAATAAGCGTTGCTTGTTCCATGTTCAATGTTAAAGCAAAATTTGTTTCGGTCCATGTAAGAAGTTCATTTGTTGAATGTTGGCCCGCGACTTTGTTCAGGTTTTAAATTTTGGCCCACTGTGTTTTTGAGATTGACACCCCTGGTCTGGACTAAATGAGAATAAAGGAAATATTAACATGAATGAATTCCAGGCTCTCAAGTGAATACAGTTTTTAAAATATCATCCTAATGGTTGCACATTTTGGGAAATGTGCGCTTGAATGCATTATTTGGCACCGAAGGCACAGTGGAAAAAAAATGTTGTGCCACGCCGGTGCAACCAATTTAAAAGGTTAGTCTGGAGGCCTTGTGTGGCTGTTTTTTAATTAAGTAAACGATAAACCCTCCTGCCCACAGGTGGGTACATGTCATATACCTGCATATACGCACCGCTACACCGCTGCCAGCTCCCGTACAGCTGTCGCTTCTCGCCGCCAGCGCAAAGTCCGTTTCGGTTTCATCCCTCTGTCTGTCCATCTGCGTGCTTCGGCTATCTCTGCATTCTGTCACTTCCTCTAATTTACTTCTCTTTTCTGTGGGGTCAGCGAAGTGACATCAAACATCTGTATCGTTTTATTAATTCCCCCGCCCTGGTAGCAGGTCGCCAGCGTTTGACCCTTGTTAAATCCTGGATGAGAGGAGAGTTGTAATGAAAATCTTTATTTCAGAACTTATGTAGCCTGCGGTTTAATATGTGGTCGGACGAAGGAGACGGCTGTTTTACATTGACTGTGATACAAGGTGCGCCCCCACTGAACACTCAAAATAGTTGATCCACACCAGGTCTGTACTGAGAGGGGATGAATCTCTTGGCCACCTCTGATATTCAAACTCACTGCCTTGTACCTCCTGAAAGTGCACTCACTTGAAGTAGCTGGGCACCCAGATAGTTGCAGGCTGTTGGATAAATGAGTTTCCCAGTGCGAATAGCATAGCGATGCTCAGCCACCGCCAGTCTTCTTTCAGTCTGGCCTGTGTACAAACAGCCACAGAGGAATCAAACGTGTAGACAGCATGGATGGCGCTACGGTCCAAAACACCCAGAACTGGAAGAGCTGTCCTGTGAAGAAGAGCCTCAGAACTACTTTTTTAGAGTTTTTAACCACAAACGAAACAGATTTTTTTATGCCACACCTCATGCATGATGATGACTTTTTTTCCCCCCTCTTCTTTTCTACTCCAAGATTTTTTATTTTGAAAATGCACCTGAGAAACCTGAGGTATGGCATTTACAAAGTAGTATTTTAAAAAAAGCACTTTTAAGCACCAGGCTTAAGAAAAGGAACAGAGCGCCTAACATTCACAGCCTCATAAGCCAGATGGCGTGGTATTATGCCACTGTGTGCACGGCCTGTTGTTACATGATTGGATAAAGCATGTGCCTAACAAATGGAACTGCTGTTCTGGCCTGCTTGCCATCATAAATCATTGTAAATAGAATTATTAAATCATCTAGTTTACATGTGTTTGATGTAATCTGTTGCTCTACTTCCCGCGGAGGATGTGCGGTGACACCACCACTACCCCTCACGCTGCCTCCTATCATGGCTCCTACACTCAATTTGTCTGGTGTTAAAATGCGCTCGAGTTTTGAATATCTGTCACTTAGCGGCTTAGGTAGTTTTTTTTATTTAATTGGCTTTAAGCGACAAGAGTTGTCACAGGCCGTGTAATTTGTCACAAAAGAACAATGGCTGGGCAATTATCTGTAACTACCACCACACACATACACAATATGGTATGTTTAGAGCTTCACAACGTCTTCCTCCGACTGCGTAAACTCTTCCCTTTTAACACGGGACATGATTACTCACTCAGATACATCAAAACATTTTTCCAGGCTCAATTAGCGAAAGACCCAGATAAAGCACCGAATTGACGACTGGCAAAGAAAATCTTTCGCAACATTTGGTTTTCAAGCTGTCAACGATTAAACCATTTCACTGTGGATACAATGCCCGAGTCTCTCCGAGCAATTACGACTGTGAAAAGGCTGCTTTCATGTTTTGACGGGGATGCTTTTGCAGAAACAGAGGAAGCCACTATCTGAGCGTGATACTGGGGGGTTTCGCAGCATCTCCTCCTCCTGTCCACTTTGAGTCGAAAGGTGTGAAATATTTATGTTGATTTTTGTTTGCTCCACTTCGGCTGCAAAATAAATTGTTGCTGCAGTCCAGCGAGAACGCGCCCTACCCCCCCTCAGGCTCTTCTCTATTGTGTGTAGTAATAAGGCTCTTGAGAGTGTTGCACTTACTTATGACTGAACTGGAGAAGGGCCATGAAAGACCATTGTGCCACACATTTTGTCTATTAAAAGAACAAAGTCTGTAGAGGCGCTTTGTGAGTGCCGCGTTGCCCCGGCCCACAAATATTCTGCTCCTTGTGAGACGTTTCAGCGCGGTGGCGAGCAACACAAGCCCGACTTTGTTTTTTCAGCTCCTGCTTGTATTATGTGACGATCCTCTGCAGGAGTCCGCGGCCGCAGCGTGCAACGTTTTCAGCGAGCGCAATAAGCAAATGAGTCTATTCTATAGGGCATATTATACTATAAAAGATGTAATATTGCTCGAAAATACCACATCAATAAGACAACGGCGCTGTCAGTGTTTTCTCTGAAAGGTTATTTTGCCTCAAAGGCACCAAATTGGCATACCGAGGGGAGTTAAGATAGCAGCAAACAGCTTTGTACGACTTCTGTCTACTGTACAAAAGGGCTTTAGCGAAACCCCCCCTTTCGTCACATCAAAGCCTCTTTCTTTTCCAAATGAAAACAATACGCTGTTTTCCCAGCTGAACCTGAAATCATTCGAAAGAAAATTAAAAATCAAAGCAGAAGGAAATTCAGAACTTCTCCTCAAAGAGATAATCAGCCACGAAATCGCCCCCCAATCAAATCTTGATTGTCCGTTTTCCGATGCGATATAAAAATGCCCTTTTCATGCTTGTTTATCTTCGCAGAACCTTTTATTGCTTTGACGGTTATACACTATTGATAACAAATAACTGAGATCTTTTTATTTTTTTGCCCCGGCTGAAGTAAGTTGAAGCTGCTTTTTAGTGCAGTGACGGATTTCCTTCCTACCTGCGTTTCTTTGGTGCATCTGTGTGGATAGATTGGAGAGTCTGTTGCCATTTTAAGCGAATTACACCCTTCGTTGATCACCCCTAACACCAATGATAATCATATGGACGGGCCCGGAATGCACAAGTGTGAAGGCGAGCTTGCAGGCATTTGTTTTAATTGTTGCACCATAATGATTAAGCAGGATTTTTATGCGGCCTGACTGGGGTCTGGCAAGATGGATGGCCTGCAATGCTATCTATTCTCAGGGAGTCAAGTCCTTGGCACCATAGTGGTTCACTGCTGCTTAGATTAACACAAAGCTGGAGGCCATGATTTCTGGGCCCACTCCACCTTTTATTTCCCTCCCGTTGAGAAACAATCAAATGTACAAGTCGCATCCTCCTTCCTCTCGTTGCTCTGGAACGCTTCCATCACGAGTCTTCGCCGAGCGGTGTTTAATTTGTTCGTTTACATGGCCGTCTTTCTTCTTTTTTCTTTTTAGGTGGAAACTGAACGGCACAGAAATAAGTCCCAAATCTGGATCTCACTACAGTCTTTCTGGAGGCAACCTCAGAATCAGTCATCTGAACAAAGACCAAGATGCTGGAACGTATCAGTGCCTCGCCTCCAACTCTTTTGGGACCATCGTCAGCCGAGAGGCCAGTCTAACCTTTGCTTGTGAGTCTGTTTTTTTTCTTCTTCTCTCTCTTTCTCTGGCTAAACTTTTGAGCTTGCACTAAAAAAAAAAAGAGAGGCAGCAGAAAAGAAAAAAGAGACGATTCAGTGGCAGCCGAGGATAGCATTGTGGGTTGCGTTTGATGATATGATCAGCATGGGGAGAGAGCTCCCTGGGGAGCTATTAGCTCCCTGTGTGTGCTGACTGGAGCTTACACTCATCATTGCTGCAGATCAAAAATCACCCTACACAAAACAAAGACGTGAAAGCAATGTATGGCAATTAACAAAAAACTGCCACTAGTGATGCTGTCTACTGATAAAGATCTTTTGTTTAATTACCAACTAAATCCGCAGCTCCTCTTGACTTTAAGGAGCTTTATAGTCAGTTTAATTTACTGGTGGAGACCAAAAACGGAGCTAAAAGTAGACTGAATATTGGGCTTGAAATGAATGATGTGGGCGGAAACACCACTACAAAGTGATGCTAAAGTTGCACTGTGTCTGCAGGATGAGTAAATAGATGATTGTTCACCATAGCAACCTAATATTTTGCCAGTATTGTGCTGTGAGATTGTTCTGCTGCCTTAAAAATATTCATTTTGCAGAACAGCACCTTTAATAGTGTTTGGTTATTATATTAGCCTATAGTTGCCCCAGATGCTCCCAATTTCAATGGTCTTACTTATTTTAAATACAATTGTCATTGCTGTTTAATTAATTAATTTATAACTGCATCATATTTTGAGCTCATCAAATGTACGTGATCAAATCTGCAAAAGATCTTCTAACAATAGATGTGAGCTAAATATAGTGAAGTAAAAAGTACAATATTTTGTTCTTAAGTTGGGAGGTCGAAGTATAAAAAAAGTCATAAAAGAGAAAGTGGAGGTACTTAAATATTTCACTTTCTGCCACCACTACCCTCACCTTCAGCGCATATTTATGTGAATTATGCATCAGCGAACACATTTGGCAGAGGTTTCTTGATATTTTAGCATTAACATCGGTTGTGTGATGATGGATCATTACCTAGAATGCAGTTTGATCAGTTTGACTGATGCTACTTCACCTCTTCTTAAAGAACAAAGAACGCCAAAACAAACATTCCAAGATGCAAAGTCAGCACTGTCACTTGATTAATGCCTTTTTAAAGACTCTTTCGCACCGATATCTCAACAGCGCGATGATAGATCGCTCGAAGGATCTTGATGAGTCTAACTGACAGCCTCTGAGCTTCATATTCCTACAGCAGGAGTGAGTCAATACATTTCTTACTGTATGTGCCAGTTATCGGACAGGCGTAAATGATGACATTAACAGCAAGTGAGTGATCGCTTTCTCAGATTAGTTTCTGGGCTTTAGCGTTTGGGGACAAGGCCACCAATAAGTCTCAGGCCGTTTGTACAATCCCGTGGACCAGTAGGAAGTCATTCCGCGGTCTTGATTCTGCTTGCGGATTTCCACTATGATAGGGTGACACTTCCATCAATTGTCGCGCTCTGACCTTACCAGCCTTCAGTTGTTGTCACAAAGTCGGGCCGTGCATGTATGACCGAGTGTCATCTGTCTTCTTTATTACTCTTGGTATAGCTTAATTAACTCCACGGCGTGATTGAACGGTGAAGGTTCAAGCGGATAATTTAAAGGGCAACTGGTATTACTGGAGAGTGTCGTGTAATTCTTTATAGAAATATAGGGAACTAAAGTGCATGTGTTTGTTCCTCCTGCAGGGAGGAGGGAAGCCAGATCCCTCTAGCACAGACTCCTGGTCAAATACAGAGAACGTACTCTTTAAGTATTAGCAGTGTTTCAGCACCAGTCTCCAGTAAAGATTGTGACCTTTTTGCTGGTAATTAGTTTTACGCATAATTTGACTGTGATTTTGACACAAGACAGAGTTTGAGCCTGCTCACACCTCTAATAAGGCCGCTGGTAATTGCAGCTGTCAGAGTCAAAATGGGAGTAATCATTTGGAACTATAAAAATGCACATCTGGTACACCTGAAAAGGTCAAAAGTCAAGAGGGTTTAAAGATTGTCAGGTATTTAATCTAATCTTACATGGCCTTGAGAGCATCTACTTCCAGTAACTGATTTATTTCCTTTTGAAAATGAATGGGGCGTGCAAATCTGGGAGAGTATATCACTGAGAATGGAAGTGTCGTCTACTTGACTGAAGCGTGGAGGGGCGGTGAAGCTGGAATAGGACTGCTTTTAATCGATCAACTTTTGGTTTGCATGCAGCAACAAAATGGGTTTTGGGGGGATCTAAGAACAGGATCGGTTTCGTAGCATCCCATGAAAACACCAAAATCAACAATGAACTGATCCTTCTAACACAGGGGTGTCAAACGCTGGCCCGTGGGCCAAATTTGGCCCGCTTTGTAATTATATTTGGCCCGCGAGACAAGACCAAATGACTACTAGAGCTGCCCCCGGTATTATACTGTACAGCACATTCACCGCTAATACTACAAATCCCATAATGCCCTGTTGTTGTTTTGGCACGTCAATCAGGACAGGACCCAGAAACTCCCTCTCCTCTGTGGCAGTAGGCATAGCGACTTCACACTACAACTGTCACTGTGCCACTGATGTGTTTTTTATTTATAATTTGATTTTGCATGTCTTCACTATTAACTTATATATAATGTATGGTAATAAGCGTTGCTTGTTCCATATTCAGTGTTAAAGCAAAATTTGTTTCGGTCCATATTAAAAGGTTCATTTGTTGAATGTTGGCCCGCGACTTTGTTCAGGTTTTAAATTTTGGCCCACTGTGTTTTTGAGATTGACACCCCTGTTCTAACACAGGAAAGTCCAATCCTGGTCCTCGAGGGCCACAATCGAGCATGTTTTAGATGTTTCCCTCTTCCAACACACCTGATTCTAATGATCAGGATCGTTATCAGGTTTCTGCAGAGCTTGATGATGAGCTGATCATTTGAATCAGGTGTGTTGGAAGAAGGAAACATCTAAAACATGCAGGATTGTGGCCCTCGAGGACCAGGATTGGAACTAACAGTTAAGTTCTCTGTAGCCATAGTCTCTATTTTATCCCTTTGTGCCACAGAGCTTTATTGTTTCCCACAAAAACACATCAGTGAGTCAAATAGTTGTTCTGGGTGAAGTTTCCTATCATTAACATGAATTCATAAACTGTATTTTACTTTGAATCAATCCCACACACGCTGTCCTGTTGCAGTAAATACTCATTAGTGCACAGAACGCGTAACAATCGGCAGCTGGAAATATCACAAACTGCAGTGTTCAGTCACCTAAAGAGGTAATTGAGCCTCCTGATTGAACCGGGTGAGGTCAGAGCCAGACATGTTGATTTTGGTGTTTCTACGAATCACTCTTGTCCTTTGAGTAGATGTTATACCCGTTCAACAAGATGTACGTGTTTGCCAATACAAATGAAAACTTAGAATTGTCAGAAAAAAAGGTATATTTCCATGCAAGGACAATACCTGCTATAACCTCAGTTTTTCTACATTGAACCGTTGCAGGAGTGGAAGCTCATTTCTTAATAATGGGCGAGTGCACTGTGTGATCTCTGCGATACATCCTCCTGCTATCACATTCTATAAGCAGCTACCTGACCACAAGAGTTCTCAGAGCTAATAGGGGATTCATGAGACTTGAAATAAATTTGTAGTCTGAGCAAGGATTGAATTTGATGCTACAACCTGTGCGGTCTCTGCAGCTGTCGGAGTTTCTGTGCCGAGCGAGTGATTCAGATCGAGCGCTCTTTCACTTTCGGTCAAACCTTTTTCATCTTAAACTTAAATCTGACGCAGGACGAATGGGGAAAAAAAGCCCAGGCATATAGGGACATTTGGTATAAATGGCCATTGTAGCAGTCAGACTTTAATACATAGATTAAATTCACCGATGTATACGAGCCGATGTGACATCTTTAGTCAAAACAGGAACCTTTCAGCTCTCAGGATATTACCCTGCCACACATGTGATCTCAAACTTGATTTGAGCAGGTCAGAACTCTTGACCGCACAAGCAGAGACACACACACAAAAAAAAAGCCTGTTTTTGTGTCGCAGCGCGGTAATGGAGGAGGATGCGCTTCTCGTTTCGGCAGCTATTCTTTTCCTTGCATGCTCCAGTGTGAGTCAGTGTGAGCTATCTTAAAGATGGACCCCTTGAACCTGATGTTCCTAACGACATGACTCGCAGGCAGTTTCAGAAATCAAACCAAATCACTCCGCAGCACTCAGCGGGCGCACGCTTCCTCGTGTTGCAGTTTTGGTTTTTAGGGATCAGGACCTCACATGGTGTCGTGCCACTCTATGTGGGCAGGATTGTGGAAGATCTCTACCGCTGATAAAGTCATGAATTATATTTCTTTGTAAGAATAATAACTAACTCTGAAACATCTTATCACTTGCCTCTGTGGTTTACTTCGGCTCTACTGGGCTTTTTCTCATTGCATTGATTCTACTATTGTGATTCGGTAGCAGGCAGCTGTTTTCTAGCGGTAAACCCTCTGGATCCGTAACAACCAGCAGGCGGACCAAGTTAGCATCTGGATAGTGAACACAGTTGAGCAATTAACAGCTACATATAGACGTTACAGATTCTAATGGTGAACTGTTAACTGTTTAATTGCTGTTAATAATTTCACAAAATAAAAAAAACAGTAAGGCAGAAGAGCAAGGACACACATATGTGTATTGTGGATAGGCTGCAGTACCTGGATGTGCCACCAGGTGTCTTTTACTGTTAAATGAGATAAAGGACTGCAGCCTGCTTGTGTTTAATAGCGAGGAGGCGATCACTCATATGTGCAGTTTTGTGTTGGCAAGCAGAGGGCATTGTGGCGGTTTAGCTAGCAAAAGGGGCACCGTGACGAAGACTTGTGAGGCGGTTAGCGCCAGTCAACAGCCAATTTATACAAGACGTGGAGGCACATGCTAGCAATGTGTTCGTACAAATGTAATGCAGCCATTCTTAGTTTTATCAGCATATGGATAAAATATA